ACTGGCTCTTGAGTTCAGCTTTGCATTAAAGCACAATACTGAATGGTAAGATGCATGTATAGTGGAAAACAATGACAATGTCTCATGGGTGGAGACACCACTCTGAAGACCCACTCTGGTAACCCCCAGCCTAACTGACATTAGTGCCAGGGGGCTTCTGAGGCTGAGTTTGGGTTTGGCACAGGCTTACAAGGGGGAAGGAAGTCTCTTCAATAGCCTTCAAAGCCCTGAACAACCAGGACCAGGCGAAATGGCCATTTTGCCTCTGTGTTCTCCCCAAAGCAGGACAGGGGAGATCTGAGGAGGCCGGGGACTTAGGGGCACGGTCAGAGTCACCCCCCTAGAAGTCGAGGGGCTCCTCAGGGCATTGGATGTTACAAAGGTGCCAGGCCCTAACGGGTTACAGCCGAGAGTACTTAGAGAGTTGGCAGGGGTTCTTTCACGCCTGCTGGTCTCCATTTTTGAGACCTCGTGGAGAACGGGTAAAGTTCCAGAGGACTGGAGGGTGGCATCAGTGGTCCCAATTTTCAAAAAGGGTAGTAGAAGGGACATGGGGAATACAGACCAGTTAGCCTTAGGTCCATTGTAGGAAAAACAGTGGAAAGGCTCATAATAGCGAGAGATCTAGTGATGCTAGATAGGGAAGGGAGGCTGGCAGCCACACAACACGGCTTCCGCAAAAACAGGTCCTGCCAGACAAACCTTGTGGAATTCTATGACAAGGTTTCGAGATGGCTAGATGGAGGGGATGCAGTGGATGTGGTATACCTGGGTTTCAGCAAGGCCTTTGGCAAAGTGCCCCATGATATCCTGGTGGAGAAGCTGAGGAGTTTTGAGATAGAGGTGAACAGTCTGCTGATCAAATTCCCAGATGATACTAAAACAGGGGCAGTGGCCACAACTGAGGAGCAGATACTCCAGATCCAAAAGGATCTGGACAGACTATGGAAGTGGGCAGGAGACAACAGGATGGCGTCCAGTGTGGATAATTGCAAGGTCTTGCACTTGGGGCATAGGAATAGCTGTCATAAGTACAGGTTAGGTGACAAGTGGCTGGAGAGCAGCACTTGTGAAAGGGACCTCGGGGTGCTGGTTGACTGCAGGCTAAACATGAGTCAGCAGTGTGATGCAGTGGTCAAGAGGGCGAACACCACCCTTGGTTGCATAGCCAGAAGTGTGGCTTCTAGATCAAGAGAGGCATTACTGCCACTCTATACAACTCTGATGCGCCCACAACTGGAGTATTGTGTTCAATTCTGGGACCCTCATTACAAGAGGGATATAGCCAGGTTGGAATCAGTGCAGCGAAGGGCCACAAGGTTGGTGGCCAGTTTGCAGGGGAAGCCATATGAGGCGAGACTGAGGGAACTGGGACTTTTCAGGCAGGAGGAGAGGAGATTCAGAGAGGATCTGTTGGAGACATACAGGTATGTGAGGGGGTGTCACATGGAGATGGGTAGAGACCTGTTCTCCCCTGCAGAGGAAGGCAGGACACACTCCAATGGAGCCAAGCTCAGGGAACCAAGGTTCAGTTTGGATGCCAGGAACCACTTCCTGACAGTTAGGGCCCCGAGGGTATGGAATGAGCTTCCATGGGAGGCGGTTGAGCCCCCATCAGTGAGGGTGTTCAAGGATAGGCTAGACATGCACATGGTGGGCATGTCGTGATCAGAGCCGGCTGGAGTCGGGGGTCAGACTAGATGGCCCGGGAGGCCCCTTCTGACTTGCGCTGTTTCTAAGTACTGGCGCTTTAAACTGAGATTGGACAAAAATGGGTAACCAATGTAACTGCAATATGTTCCAGCCACCTAGTGCTCTGTGCGCTTCCAGCAGCTGGATTTTTCATCCAGGTGAAGCAGCCCTACAGAGCTGTCTGGTCAAGAAGGTCAATGAGATCTTGGATGCGAACACAAACTCAGAGGAAGGTACACAATCCCAGCTCAGCTTACAAGAGAAGGCTCTGGGCTTACTTCTGATGCAATCAAATTCAGTAACGGGGAATGCTGACGGTGCTCCAAAGAAGAGCACCTGAAAATATCTGCTTTTCTTTAGTTAAAGGATGTTCAAACACTTTCTCGTGAACATGAAGTAACCCTCACAAAATGGGAGTTTCAGCAGTCATTTGGAAGACAAACACACCTTTCCATACCCAGCCCTAAGCCAGAAACCCATCTGTGACCTTGGTAGGTGAATATAAGCTGCCCAAACTCTTTTCCTCCATCACATCCAGCTGACTCCCTCCAATATTCCAGAGCTTGGAATGTCAGTTCACAAATGGAGCCCTTTCTTCCCCATGCCTTCAAAGACTGGAAGCTTGAGCGGGATTCTAATCCACAACACCTTCTGGGAGTCTTTGAGGAGTCACAGCACTCCAGGTTGGCTTAGCTTACCATAAATTAACATCGCACACACATCCACACACCTGGAATTTATCTGATAGGTATGATATGTATCATGTTTTTGTATGGGCTTGTTTTCTAAGCTGCCATGAAGCCATTAATATGTGGGGGGGGGGGAAGAGAACAAATAGTTGGATACTCAGTGCTGTTGAACACATGCTGGGACAAGAGAAAAAAATGGAAAAGAAAGGAAGGGAATCAACATGAGCTGGTGCACGGAGGAGCTAGGAAAGAAAGCAGAAGCACTGTACAAATGAAACCATAGCAGTGATAGCAGGGAAAGCATTTTTGTGCCACCCCCACGCCTTTGTGGAAAGCCCTTCCCAGGAGGATTTTCCTGGTATCTTACTGTAGATGCCAGAAGTCAGATCGAGTCTTTGTTTTCCAACAGGTGTTTAAAACATGGATTGCTTTGATTACAAATAGTGAGGAGCTGGCACCAACATGTTTAAAATTGCACTACTCTGATACTTCTATGAAGGTGTTTTTGTTTGGTTGCTTTGTTTTGATAGTAAACTGCCCTGAAGGAAGAAGCCGGTGGGGAGGGACACAAATACAGCCAATAACGAAATGACTATTTTGCATTCGGATGCTTGGCTGCCACTGGAGGCTAACAATAACGTTTATTGATGTTGTGAGCCGCCCCAAGGCTTATTGCGATGGGGAGGCATAGAAATGTTTTAAATAAATAAATAACAGGCTTCCGCTGCCAGGAATCTGCAGGGAGAGATGCTTTGCTTCCTGAGGTACAGCATCTTTGCAGCAGTCCATCAACTCCCCTATGGACCGCTTTTTGTGGAGGATGGAGGAGAAGGACCGAAAGCTGAGGGTGCGAATGCTTCAGCTCTGGGGACTCTGACGCACTGATGACTAAATGGCCCCATCCATCTTTCTAACCGCTTGAATAGGAAAACTGCCTGGTCATATTTAGAAATGGGGGAAAGGTCATGATTTTTAGGAGCCAAATTTGCTTTCTGTGGGTGTCCTGAATTTTTTCAGTACTGCCCAAGCCAAATGCTTTTTTAATGAGAGTTTCTTTACATTTGATTCTGACAGGCAGGAATGTGGTTTTTTGCCTCCCTAGCCCTGACAGCAGATTCCACTTGGCCTCCCAACACATTGAGGCCTACCTAATTAATCATCCCATAAAGATGGCATAATATTGGACAAACAACGCCTTAAAGTAAAATTGGCTGGAAATTGTGAGGAAAGAAAGAAACTTTTCCTTTCCTTTGCACTGAAAGCACAACTGAACAACCCAGGCAGCCTCAAATAGATTCAAAAAAGTAATTTCTCAATTCAGAAAGATTTACAAGAGGACTACAATTTCATCCCAGGGGTATTTTTAGAAGCTTTATGATCAACTTTTTCAAAATTTTAGTTTCTCATGGAGAATTCTCTGGCCCGGCTTCAACTCTCAAGCAGGAGAGCACACGGACTGGTTCAGGAGAGGCACGTGACCTCGTTTCCACTTTCTAAACTGACGAACGAGAAAGCGGTCTGGCATTGTGTGATGTTTACATGTGAGTGGCGTCCAAAAGCCTCGGCCAAGCCACTGTCCAAAGCCCTGGAAAAAAACAAAAGCCATGGTCCGCCTAAAAAGACCTGACCATGCCAGGAGAGATATCCTGGGCAGGAAAAAATACTGTTGCTCAATGCAGAAATGCAGAATTGGGATATTAAGTAACTAGCTCAAGTCCATATATAATCCGTGGCAGAATTAAAATGGAATTCTGACCCTCAGTGTTCCAAACCAAGGCCACAATTAGCATTATACCAATCCTTCCCTCTCTCGGTGTGTATTAACTAGTCTTTCCCAACCTGGAGCCCTCCAGATGGATTGGACTATAAATCCCATAATGCCCAGTCACTGGCCATGCTAAAACTGCCATTTCTCTCCAAACTCTCATGCAGCTTTGAAGGTCACACTCCACAACCACATAGAAGAAAGCATTTATGAAGTTTTTGTAGATGGCCTCCGAAGAACTTTCAAGATGCAAATAAATACGCAAAGCAAAAAGCTAATCAACAGTTGCCATCAAACACATGAACGCACAAAACTAGCCAGCTTTTCAGATAAATTAACTTCAATCTTTTTTCAAGACTGACTTATTTTAAAATCATTTTGCTCATCCGTCTGGCTTTTCCCCCCTCTATGAAAGGCCTCTAAACAGTCTAAACAGAAAGGAGCCCAAGGCACGGAGATATGGTTTGGCTTAGCCGACTGTCATGCGGCTCTCTTGATAGCCCTCAGCCATAAATGGAAAAGAAGCAGACCCACGTTTGTATATGGCAGATAATAAAAATCACCTGGCCTGGCAGATGCTTGGACTGCACCTAGTTTCCGTCTTGCCTTCTTCTCCTCTCCCAGGACATCAAACAATCAAGTACAGAAGAACTTTGGGGAAGGACCATGAGAAAGCCCCCCAACCAGCCCCCCAGCAACGCAGCTGATCCTCTCCGAAAGCTGAGGAGTGCAATTCAGCAGAGGCCTAAGCAAAGGGAATCCAGGCAGAAAAAGGTTCCCTAAGACAGAGGAATGATCCATCTCCTACCCATGGGAGAAGCAGTCCACTGAAATGGCCACAGGGCCGAACTTACCTTCCAAGTAACAGCTGGAGGATGAGGAGAGTCCTTTTTTTGACTTGCAGCCCACCAATTTCAGACAAATCTCCAACATTTTCATAGGTCAGAGGAAAGGCCTTGCTTTTACGCTCTCTCCCCCCCCCCCCGGCTCCTTTTCTCCAGAAAACTTCACAAGCACACAAAGTTCCCGGCTCCAAAAAGCTTAGAAATCCAGCCTTCCTCAAACCGTTAACTCAGGAAGCCAAAACAACCAATCATCCATTTTTTACATACTCCATTGTGCCTCTCCCTCCACATTTTAAAAACTTTTCTTTTCACATCCCTCGGGGTTCCTCGCTTCGGCTAGGAAGGCGGGCGGTAGAGAAAGACGGCAGCGCTTGTGAAGAGAGAGCCGCGAGGAGTTACTTGGAGCAAAAGCTCCAGAATTCTGCCATTCCACCCGCCGGCTCCGCTCTCTGTGCAGACGGAGGCTGCTTGCTTGAACTGCCAACAAAGGGCCCCCTTCAGGCTCGGGTTGTCTGACTTCGTGACATCAAGAAACGCAAGGAACGCCTACCAGTCACTTAACCCCTCACGGCTTTGCTGTTCTGGGGTAGAGGGTCAACCGGGCCCCCCGGGGAATGCTGGTCGCCCTTTGGGAGCTTCTGAAGGTCCGAGTGATTGCGTGCACGAGAAAGAGCAGCAGATGTCCTCTGAAGGGAGGAGAAAGGAACGCGGTGCAAGGACAGAGTTCTAACACCGGGTGGGACGCAGGAACAGGAGAAGCTGAGTCCAGCCCTCAGCCCCTCTAGCCCAGTATGGCTGACACTGACCGGCAGGGGCTATCTAAGCTGTCATGCCTGGTTCTTTCCCTGCTGGGCACAGCACCCAGAATGTCTGCCTGTGAAGCATGCATCTTCCCCTAATCCATGCCGCCAAGATTCCCTAGAAGATCGCGGAATCACAGAGTTGGAAGGCACCACTGAAGCCATGCGCAGTGCAGGAATTCTGCTTACTGCATCATTAGCAGGTAGCTGCCCAGGTTTTGCTTAAGTGCCTTCCATCTGGTCCCAGTGTAGGAAGGAGAGAATACTATGATGTAAATAATACCATAAAACAACAAGAAAAGCCCATGGATTTCTCTGCTGAATTCACAAAGCATAAACTACCCAGCTGAAAGAGTCAGCAACATTCCTCTTTCAAGTTGTTTTCCAGAAATAATCAAGCACAATAAATCATAACAAAATAGACCACAAACGATGCAGGGATTAATTAAAGATAATTTCTGGAAGGCAGGAATGGTGTAATTTACAGGAGAAGGTACCGAAACCAAATTGTACCTGGCATCTTCCTATTTAAGGAGAATCACTAACACCAATCATGTTACACGACTGCCTGATTCAAAAGTGGATTGATTATGCTAACTATGTAGCAGGGGATGTTACTAAAACTTTCAGAGCCAGAAAGGTAATGAAAGGTGGCCACATTTTGAAAAACACACCCACAAAATTCCGTGATCGCCATGATTAATATAAAAGAAAAAAAAAGCAAAATTAATATAAAAGGAGAAATCGCAGCATTACTACAAACCATAAAAAGAATGGATGAAAGGGTTGGTGTGGCTTGGTGGTGAGCGGGAACCTGGGCAATCCAGGTTCAAGTCCCCACTTGGCCATGAATCTCACTGGGTGACTTTGTGCCAGTCACCTAAACCCCCCTGAGTTCTGCACAAGAGAGAAAAAAAGTGGGATATAAATTCAAAGTCATAATAATAATATTCTGTATCACTGTAATAAACACCATAAACATGTACTGCAGCATAAGAAGAAGTGGTCAGCTACATCACATGAAATCCTCTACTTCCCTTACAGTCTAGGAAGACCACCATGCTGTTAAGAGCAGCTGGGCCATTATTTGATATCAAATTGCCCTGGGCGACAGGCGTGTCTTCCCGAAGCCACAAAGAGGACAGCACTGGTGCCTGGCCGGCTTCCTAAGGACAGCATTCCCCAATGCAAGGCTGTCACAGCTGCCCTACCACCCCGAGAGCTCTTCTCTTGGTGGCACGGACAGAAAACGGCCTCTGAAACCGACACCAGGGATCAGGTAGGTTCATATGGAGAGAGGACGTCTTTGAGGACCCTGAGCCCTGTGGGGCTGGATAGGGTACGACTGGCACTTGAATTTGGCCAATAAACAATAGCAAGATGACCCTGCCCACATTCTTACAATCTAAGGACACGGCAAAAAGTTCTTATGATACGGCAAAAAGCTCTTATGATACGTGCTCTTTCTAGCAGGGGAGGGTGAGCAAGCCACTCCTGCTGTCCCTCCTCAAAACAGCTGGCCTCCCTCTTGCTGTGATGTTCTTCTTGGGAGGAAAGGGCACTGTGGCCTGCTAGCCGTCACAGGGCCAGGGCCAGCCCCGGTGGGAAAGGACTCCTCCTAGTGCAAGGGAAAGGAAAGACCTCTGCGCAGCCAGGATGGGAAGAATCAGCACCAACCGACCAGTGTCCGCTTCAGAACGGAAGCCATAGTTCCTTGAGCACAACCAGGTGCTCGACCTGGAATAAAAAGGGCTGCCGTGACTTTTGAGCAATGCCTTCATCAGCGGGCAAGGCTGAGCAGAAACCCAGGGTGCGGAGAATGTCAAACGGCAGGAAAACGGAGCATTATGTAACGCGGAGCGTGGAGCAGTTCTGGCCCGCGTCAACGAGAAAACAGTTCTGGGAAATGTGATGCGGTCACTTTGTAGGGAGTGTCAGAAGAGCATACTCTAAAACTGAGCCATTCTGAGTTCTTCTGCCTCCCATACTTTCCATAGCATGAGGTTTCTTCACAACTGCAGCTGTAGGAATGCAGAATTCCAGAAGAATTCCAGTGGAATTACTAAATGGGATTACTAAGACCGCCCCCGTTAACGCTCCAGAGAGCTGAACAAGGTTAACACACTCAGCGCCAATCGAATGAGGAAGAAATGGTTATTTCAAGAGCTTGATAATATGCATCATTCATAACTTCCTACCCTCAAGACAAGCATAAATTAGACCACTGACGGCCAAAGCACACTTCATTTCCACTGCTTAGAAGCAAACCAAAATGGGGGTGCTGATGTTGGGTGGGCCAATTTGATCTTCTCAGTTTGCTTTAGAAGAACACAGACAATTCCATCTGGCTTCTTGGATACCAAGCCAGGGCTTCTTTCTCTGTTTGACTTTTTCTTTTTGCCCAATAGCTGCTGCGGCTGGGACATAACACTCTTGTTGTTGGAGGTCTCAACTGACTGCTGCAGAGGACTTTTCAATAGTCCTAGGGCCTCAGGTTGCCCACCAGTGATCCAGGCCAAGGACAGCGGGTCTGTTTCCCCTGGAGTCATTCAGTTCGGCCAGTAATAGTTCAGGGGCTGGATCTCTCTTGGACGGTCAGGCTCCTGAAGGAGGCTCAAATACAGGTTCTTTCAAGAGGCAGACTGGCATGGATAGTGGAGCAGGTCAAACCAGAACAACAGGCCCACTTGACAAAGCTCTTGGCAAGGTGTCATCAAAGGATAATGTGGATTAGAAAGCAACTGAGCCAAGAGACCTGTTGTAAAGATGCTTTTAAGTGGCAGGCCTGTCAGCTCAAATGCGGGCAATCCTGCACACAGTTTAAAATAAGCCAAGTGACCACTCACAGTGTCAGTAACAGTGAAGCGCTGGTTGCAGACTTTCTACCTTTTATGGCCATTTGACCCCACTGTTTCTATCTTCCGCATTATTCCTTGTGCCCATGTGAATATTCCTACCAAGTGAAGATGGCACTTTGTGTCTGCGACCCAGTACACTCTCGTCCGTGGCATCCCAGGCCACAAGCAACCTGTTCAAGTCTTGGTTCTGACGCAGTTCACCTGGAAGGGGTTGTGTGTGGTGCCCCGGGGATGTCCCTATCTAACGGACAGGGTAGGGGGTGACCTGTTAACCTCTGCATTAGACCAATCTTCCCTGACAAGACATTTTGGGAGACCTGACCACTGGCTCTGCTGACTGAGGTTGAGAGCTGAAGTCCAGAACATCTGGAGGGCACCCAGCTGGGGGACACTGAATGCACTAGGGAGCCCGCATCCTTTGGCCAGACATTAAATTTAAGCCCTGCAAATGGAAATTAGGTCTTTATTCCTGATTAGGTGGATACTTATGCAATGCAAATTGCTAAAAACGCTCTGTATTTATTTAAAGATTTCACATGCTGTCCAATACCAGAGTCTCTGGATGGCTAACAAACAAACAAACAAACAAACAAAACCATGGTACCATACAGTGTACAATCAAGCAGTGATCCTAATTATCTATTTAAAAAATATACGCAGTTCCTCAGCACATTGCTTCACCTTGCTGTAAAAATAAGAACTTCACCACTACATAGGCACACACATGTACAAGTTCCCTGTTTTTGTCTGACAGATGCTGAATGATGCAGAGATATGCATTCACCTCCGAGGCAGGAGAACTAAGCATGATTTTCAGTGGGGAGGCAACAGTTAAATGAAGTCTTTCCAGAGGAAAGGACCAGGCCTAACAGATCAAATTACTGTTGAGGAGGGGGTGGAAGGAGAGAAAGAGGGGAGAGGGAGAAGGGAAAAAAGAGAAATATGTGGAATGGTTGCACAAAGCATTAGACCCAGCAGGAATCTGGGCTGAACAAGGAGGAGCCAGTACCTTCCAAAGTTATCTTCAAGGCCCCTGGAATACACATGTGTGCATGTGTGCACACTCATACACAGCTATCCAGAACTTTCCACCAAAGGACATAAAAGAAACGCACGGCCTGCATGCCAGAGCAGGCTCCTGAGCAGTGACGGCAAAATTATTAGAGAATGAACTCAAGCGGTTGAGTTCCTCTTGTTTCTCAAACCCCCATTTAATTGCAAGCCGTTTTGTCCCAAAAGGTTATTCAAACAATCATTCAGCCGGAGAAACAAATCCAGCAGTGTGTACTTTTGCTTGATGACTGGTTCAGCCCTTCACATATACATGGAGGTCAAAACAGATGAGCGGACAAGAGAATATAGAACCGTGCCCCTGACCTTAGCCGAAAGGGGCACGGGCCTGAGAGGGCTCCGGGCCGGCGCCAGCTCCAGGACTGGAGGGCCCCGGCCAGGGCTCCCTCAATGGCTCCTGCCCCTCGGGGAGCCCACCTTTGCCCGGCAGACCCGGAAGCAGTGGGCAAGCACACCTCTGCTCTTCTCCACTTCCACCTGGACCAGAGCAAAAGAGGTGACCCAGCAGGTTGCCATGGTGAAGAGGGGGAG